AAAAAGGAATAAAAAAAAAAAAAAAACGTACCTCAATTTCATGCTGTTTCTTTTTCTCTTCAAACTGCAATCGTCTCTGTAATTCTTCCAAAGCAGTTCTGTATATTGCATCCTGAGCATTCCGAAGTTCAATAATCTGATCAAACACAGCTCTAAGCTGGTTTAAAAGTGCCTGAAGAGATAATGACAATTTTTTTTATAAACAGACTACCCATGCTAAGTTTTTAAAATATTAATAATTAGTAAAAATACCAAAAAACAAAATATCAATTCAAATTCTCAAAGAGTTCATTAATTGTTCATTCATTTACCAAACATTCCCTGAACTACTGAGCAGCACTGTACAAGACTCCAGCAAAACACTGCAATTCTGGACCTACCATAACAACAGCAAAAGCTATTTATTGAGTCTGATGATGGGCCAAGCTCTCTGTGCAAATTATTTCCAATTTGCACAACAACCTTATGAAAACAAAGCAGTAAGATAGTAAGTAGAGTTAGGAGTGGGACTATTCCAAGGATTGATTAGAAAAGAATGGTAAAGTACCCTGATGTGTCTTTTTTGTTTTTTTTTTAATATATCAAAAGTGGACATGAAGACTATGAGAAAGGAAATCCTTAGTAAAATATAAAAACCAAATTAAGCAAGACTTTTTAAAAAAAAAAAACTGCTATCCTATTTTATCCCAGGAATAAAAGAATGGCTTAACACCAAAGAAAAACCTCTTACTGTTTTAAAAATATATCAGTGTCACAGTACACATCTGTAGCCCATTGCTTATAAGTGCTGCTCAGAATTCTTCAGTATACATCTACCATAATTTTGTTAATCTTTCTCCTAGTGTAGCATGGAAAGAAGGAAACAATATCTACAACACAAAATCATTTATGTAAATTAAAAATATATACATACAAAATACCCAACACATTATAAATATAAAAATATAGCAAACACATTAACTCATGCGAATGGTGGGGAAGGGGGAGAGGAAGATGGAACTGGGAAACCGGTGGGAAAGAGGATAAAACGAAACCAACAAAACACAAGAGGTTTTCCTCAGTTGAAGATGGCCGTGTGCCTTCTGCCATCTTAGGTTAAAAAAAAAAAATCATTAACAATTTTGAGGGAAGAAAGATCATTTTAATAATGCAGAAAAAAGTCACATGATAAAATTCAGCACATGCTGATTTAAAAAAAGCACCTAAGCGACCAGGACGAGACAAAACCTCCTCAATTCAACAAAGGTCCTGTCTTTGCAAACTGCACAACCAACTGCTGGGGATGAGACAAGACTCTCCTGGTGCTTAAGAGTCGACCTAGCTAACACTCTAAGGCAAGACAAAGAAGCAGAAGGCATAGCCTGTGTAGCGAAAGAAATAGAACTGTTTTTACTTGGAAAGAAATACGTTCCAAGAAAATACCAGAATAAAAAAACAAATAAAAAGATCAAAGTAAGGAAATCAACAGCATTCCACAACAGCCAGAAGACCACCTTACAAACACAGTAACCATCTAACAAAAGATCTGCAGGCGTGTGGGAGGCGATGGGGCAGGTGCACCTCACCTCACTGCACTTCGCTCACTGCATTCGCAGACACTGCATGTTTACAAACTGAAGATTCGTGGCAACCCTGCGTCCAGCAACTCTGTCGGCATGGGTTTTCCAGAAGCATGTACTCATCACATGCATACGACACTGAACTGAATCGATAAATGTGTGTTCTGACTGCTCCACCAACTAGACGGTCCCCTGCCCCTCCCCCCCCTCTCTCCCCCCCTCCC